CTCCAGTCTTAGTAAATCCCCCTGGAAGTGAAGGGACAAAAGTATCCATGGTTAACGTATGACGATAACAACACTTTGAAGAAAATAAAACAAGTAAGCTTAGTGTGCGGATTCCAATTTAGTGGATGTGTAGAGCATTATGCGGTCTTAGAAATACATTTTTGCATGGAAGGTTTAGTGACACTTTAAACATCTTTAGATGAGAAAGAGGGGAAGAAACAAAACAGTTCTATTGTGCATGAGACGGCACCCCAGGAAACTATCACATGTACTTGCTCAGTGGTAATCCCAACAGGTGACTGAGGGACTGAGGGGAGGCTGGGAACATCCTCATGTAGAAGAAGGCAGGGATGCCTTCTTTGATATACTGTAACTGCTTCAGTGTTTGCGGTTATCTGCAGAAATTTCTATCAGCCATCAGAAAGGAAATCTGAATTGGCAGAACTGCTGAGGATCCTAGTTCTCAGGGGACAGATGATAAAATAAAAACATAAAAGATTATATCAGCAACAATTTTGGTTTGCTTAGTGTGTTAAAACTTCCCATGTTCTTTCAACTTTGATTTGGTAAGCTGCCCTTATACTGCAGTTTTTATAGATTATGACAAACATCCAATAATTAGGCTGTTTTTAACTCATGCCCATGTCTCAAGGGATGTCTCCTGTAACTCAGATACTGTTACTTTTCTTGCTTCTTATTTTCTTTGATTTATATCTTCAGTATTCTTTAGGACAGAAAACCAGCGTGACCTATGCCCCCCTTTTTCATCATTAGCTCCATTGATTTATGCATAAACTATAAGAAATGCTGAAGCCCGATTCATAAGTTGCATAATTTTTGTTCAGCATGGTTTGCCAAAAACTCAACTATTGAGCTGAGTAGTGATAGGCTGGACATCCCTCTGTTCAGTTCGCAGTCGAAAATTCGAACCTACGGAAAGTTTGACCACTAACTTTGAACAGGGACAATTTACTGAGCCGTATCATACCATATCTGAGTATGCGGTAAGATACCGTCAGTTACTAAAATACTGCATGCGGTTTATTATTAAGTCATGTGGTATTTTAGTAGTGAAACATTCATTCATGTATCAGCTGTTAGCGGGGTTCCCTGCTGACAGCTGAACGTCAAAAGATTTGTTGGCACTGCCCAGCAATTTATGAAAAAAAATAAAAAAACAGCATGGGGTCCCCCATCCCATCTATACCAAGCCCTTTGGGTCTGGTATGGATTTTGAGGGGGTCCCCCCAAAATCCATACCAGACTCTTATCCGAGCATGCAGTCTGGCAGGTCAGGAAAGGGGGGGGCAAGCGAGCAGCCCCCCCGATTCATACCAGGCCATATGCCCTCAACATGGGGGGTGCTTTGGGGCAGGGGGGCTCCCCCCTAAAGCACCTCGTCTTCATGTTTATGGGGACAAGGGCCTCTACCAGGGGCGGACTGACAACTCATGGGGCCCCTGGGCAATAGGGGATTATGGGGCCCCTGTGTCATTGTACCTGCAATGCTTTGGCCAATCACAATGCACTGTCAGGGCACAGGGCATTGTGGGGGGCGGCGGTGAACAGTCGAACCTACGTTTGAATCAAACATGCAACCCATCATTAGAAATGAAGGCAAAGAGAGGGCCAATGGGAACCAGCCTCACCCTCTACAACTGTATTAGAGTAGCCAAACTAGATAGTAGTAACTTGATCTTATCAATGGATAGGACAAATATTTAGCACAAGCAAGGTGAAATAAACCAGTAAACCCTATGAACTGGGACTGTTACTGAGTTATATATGCAGACCTCATTAAAGCGGAGCTCCAGTCAAAATATAAAAAAAATAAAAGTCAACAGCTACAAAAACTGTAGCTGTTGATGTTTAAAAAAACAGACACTCACCACAGCCAGGTTCACCGGCCGTCCTGTTTCCCCCCTACACCGGCATCTTTAGTGTGGGCACCTGGCCGTGACGGCTTGTGGCTTCAAAGCTGGCTGTCCATTGAGCATGTGCGAGTAGCGCTGCACCTTGTGAATGGTTCCATAGTCTTCATGCATCTGTGAAGTGTCCCAGAAGACTACACGGAGGGAGGGGGAGAGGACAACTTCAGCTTCCAATTGCCTAGGTGATCGCAGCAGAAGTGGAAATCTGTCAAAATTGGGTTCCCCGCTTCCCAAAGGCGCCAATCCTTAATGGGGAGGGGGAATGAAGCCTTAAATAGAACTTCCCCTTTTGGGTGGAGCTCCACTTTAATTAAAGGATAAGTTCACCTTTTTCGTAACATGTTACATGTTATACCCATATTCTGGGTGTAACATGTAACATGTTACGATCTGACCGGCCCCCGATCCCAGCTTTGACAGCTAACTGCTAGCTGTCTTCCTGCCCGGCTGTGTCACTCATTCACATCATTCTGTGAATGAAAGACTACAAGTCCCGGCAGCCTTAGGGCCTGTCAGCTTGTAGTCCTCAATGAACTACCATGGCACTGCATGCTCATACATCCCGCGCAGCAAGCAGATATTCTGAAAGATCTGCAGGAGACCTGCATGGCACCAGTGATCTACTGATAGCTGGTGCAATGGTTTACAGGCTCCTGCAGACAAAAATAATAAATGCACATTTTTTTTTACCTGCAAAAAAATGTGCATTTATTATTCTTTACTAAAAGGTGAATTTATCCTTTAAGTGGATTTGCCATTAAATTAATAAATGATTAGAGATTAACATCTGAAATGTCCCATCACTTGAGACATTCTCAAACCTCCAAAATTCACCAAAAGTCTCACTGAAGTCAATAGGAAAATGAACCAGGCTCCGAAAAAGTGTAAAAGTGTGTATTACAGAGCAGAAAATTAAGAGAATATTCTGCAGAATGGCTTTAAAAGCTTCTATCTGAGATGATGAGGCCAAAAAAAAACAGCCCGAACCACTTTAAGGACTCGTGCATACAGGCTTATGAAAATGAGTAGCATTTTTTCTGTCAGAATCTGGCAGAAAAAATGGCTGTAATGTTACAATATGTATTCGGGTTTATGTGTGTATTTACATGCATTTATGGTGTTTGAGTGTAAATACATTCTACTGCCAATTGGAATAGATTCATGCACAGGTTTCTGTGTGTTTAGAAGCATTTACACATGTACTTGTGGTTTTTCTGCTCAAAAACCCCTTCAGAACACGCCTTTGGTGCATTTTTTTTCTGCCTGTAAACGTTCTTCTTTAAATACGCCTGTAAACACCTATGTGTACATGGCCACATAGGCTAGCATAGAGGTGCTTTTACACCCATAAAAAAATGCTGAACATCTGCTTTAGTGGGGTTTTTTTTAAGCTTGGTGTTTATGAGGTCTAATATTTCTATCAGGAATACGAAGACGGAATGGTAGCAATAAAGTCTAGTACACATGAGCAGAAAATTGTTCTAAAAATACTGTTTTGAAATCGTTCGTACAATTTGATCAGATAGTAATTATTCAAAGGGACAAGCGTGAAAATTTTTCTTGTACGTAACCTGATCGTGCAATTGTCATTTAATCAGTACAGTTTTCATCCGAAAATACAAAATAATACATTACATCACTTTTGAATTTTTATTCTTTTGTGCAAGACTTTTTCGTAACTGTAGCAACCTCTTCACTTTCGATATGAGACTAGCATGCAAAAAAACAAAAAAATAAATAAAAAATGGACAATCGTTTGTCCGATATTCTCATTGTGTGCTTTACAATCAAGCTAGGGGTGCTCGGGCGGAGCAGATAGAAGGCAGAAGTAGTCTTTAAAGCAGCTTTTAGTGACTTTACCTGAAGCCTTATAAGGAATCTAAACTTCTAAAATTCTGGTTTAGCTTCAGAAATCTGAATTCAAAATATCTGGTCTGAATCTAACACCATTCAAATGTTGGGATCAACTTTATTGTTGACCATGTAAAGTTAAAAGGGCCACTCCATCCATTGCAGAAAAGTTAAACACATTCTCTTGGGTCTGCCCATATGTTGGGGCATTGACGAGGTGGTCCTTCTCATCCTGGTGGAATTGTTGTCTATTTTATACTATGAAGAATGCACAAGAAGATGCTAGAACATACACTGGTGGGAGACAACACCTAAATTTCTTAGGTATAGGCACAGGGTCAGAAACTATTGGAAGGGAGAGCTCACTGTTGGAGTATTGAAGACTAATACAAGTCAGAGGCTGACTCAGCCCACTATCTCCACTGATAACTTAAAGATCATTTTGGCTGGACTGACCCAGTAATCAGAATTCTGACGTCTCCTTTTGTAAATCTCTCTCCTATCTCTACAATCATTTACTAGGGCAGTGTGCTCATACTGCATTATAGATAAAGATTTTCTAGTTGGCAGCAATACTCTATGAACTAATAGAAAAAGTTTTAATCCTCCCTTCAGATACACAAGAACAGACATTGACATGAGAACTTTACCTGGGAAATATGTTTCTGTGCAGCAGCATGTAGCACAGAAAATTCTAATAATTCTTTGTTAGTTTAAGTTTCTGGTTATCTGTGCAGGTCGCTCTATATTGTCTGTTTGAATTATATAAACTGAAGTGAACTTTAAAATCACATGAAAAGATCTCTGAATTCTCTTTTTAAATGAAAGAATATGTAAACCCATCATGTTGTATTCCTGATACGTGCCTGCTACACCATGTACTTGTATGTAAAAGAAACCTGTTAGAGCATAGGAGAAAAGGGGGGGATGTTCCGTAATCTGGAGTGATAACACTACATCTCCATAGATACATTACAGTGGTCATGCATTGTCACCAGGTAAAAAGAAAAGAAGATCATCAGGTAAAAAGAAAAGAAACAAATCCTGAAAAGGAAAAATCAATGCAGCCACCACATTTAACCTCCCTGGCGGTATTCCCGAGTGTGGCTCGGGGTAAAGTTTCAGCACCACAAGCGGTAACCCCGAGCGACACTCGGGAATACCCTGCAGCGCTGCTCTGGGATCTCTCCTTCACTTACCCTGTCCTTCGCTTCCGCGATGTCCCTCCTGCAGTGTTCCCGGCAATGTCCACCGGCCAATGCCAGCATCCGTCTTCTGGGTTCCGTTCCCTGTGACGTCGGGACGTACGGGGGGACGGAACAGCGGGAAATTTAAAAATGTGAAAAAAAGTGACCTTCACTAAATTCACTACAATCACATAGTAAAACATTACTGTATCAAACCATTTCACATACATTTTGTCCCTAGTGCTTTGTCCTGTGCCCTGCCTGCATTTTTACCGTTCTTTCTGCCTTGAAACTGAGAAACGTCCATGGCGTTCAAAAAGCGTCCCTTTAGGTCAAAAGCGGTTTTAGACCAGCTAGAAAGCAGCGATAGTAAAATTAGAACTACTTGCAGAATTGAGTGATAATGATTCGTGGGGAAATTCGTCATCAGACACTGAAAACAATTTTGTGACTTTGCTCAGTGATGTGCGAACATGGCGCTATATTTCAAATTTCAGTGTTTTTGGTTTGATTATATTATTGAATTAAATTTATTATTATTATATTATTTTTTATGATTATTTGTTAAATTACAATTTATGATTTTGTGTTTCAAATTTTAACATACACGAGATGTTTACTAGACTCTTGTTCGGACAGATTTCAGTGAGTTATTCCTAAAATTTACAGGCCTACAATAAAAAAAAACATATTTCCATGCAAAAAAATGTACCACTTTGAGCACAATAGGGAGGCTACAGTATAAGTTCACCGTTGGAAAAAATAAAAAATAAAATGCACACAATTTTGCAGGAAGTGGATTGAATGGAGAGAGAAAAGATCAGATGAGAAGCAGAGAGTACAGAACAAAGGGACTGGGCAAGACAGCAATGTGTAGCTGAGTTCAGGGAGAGAGGGAGCAAGTGGACAGCCAGGTGTACAGATTAAAAAGGTACTAGGGCAAGATGACAATGTGGGGCAGAATTGAAAGAGGGAAGGGAACAGAGGGACTGTAGAAATACAACAGTACAGGGAAGAATAGAGGAAGAGAAGGAAATGGGTGAGCAGTATAAAATACATAACTAGGGGAGAGTGGAGCGAGCCAACAGTGTGGGGCAGAATGGAGGGAGGAAAGGGGATAGGTGAGCAGTACACAGTACAGAACTAGGGGAATGTGGAGCGAGCCAACAGTGTGGGGCAGAATGGAGGAGGCAAGGAAATAGGTAAGAAGTATAAAGTAAGGAACTAGGGGGAGAGAGAAGCAAGCCAACAGTGTGGGGAAGAATGGAGGGAGGCAAGGGAATAGGTGAACAGTATAATGTAAAGAGCTAGGCGAAAGTGGTGCAAGCCAACAGTGTGGGGCAGGATGGAGGAGGCAAGGGAATAAGTGAGCAGTATAAAGTACAGAACTAGAGGAGAGTGCAGCAAGCCAACAGTGTGGGGCAGAATGGAGGGAGGCAAGAAAATAGGTGAAAGATATAATGTACAGAGCTAAGGTGAACTGAATTGAGCCAATAGTTCAGGGCATAACTCCAAGAAAAGTCAACAGAGACAGAAAGAATCAGGTGGACTTGCCGGAATGCACAAGAGGAAGGGATGGGGAATAGGTAGCAGTGCAGGGCACATTGGGAAGCTGAGAAATACAGGGATGGTCTGGAGGTGAGAAGGGGACAGAGGTTTGTGTGAAATGGATTGACAGTAAACAGTGATGGAGCAATGATGCAGTAATTAAAGAACTGACATAGGAGGGGAACAGAGGCTGTGACAGCAGTAACTGTCAAACTACAGCCATCGGCATCTACAGTATGGGAACATATAAGCACTTATAGTAAAGAACAAGTAACTCTGGTGCACAGGAGTAAAGTAGTGTAAGGATGAAAAGGATAAAAAATATAAAAGATGATAATGGCAATATTGGCATACAAGTACATTAAAACAGGGTATGTAAATGCATCGGTGTACAATAAGTCCTTATAAAAGTCTCTCAGGCAATCTGCCTGGAATCTTTTCAGCACAAAAAGACGGCAGCCATCCTTGAAACAAGCCAGCTCTGTATGCAGGGACAGAAGAAAAAGAGAGACAGGAGGTGCCCCTCTGAGTGTAGTAATTTAGTAGTAAGTTACTACACTCAGACGGGCGCCTCCTGTCTCTTTTCTTCTGTCCCTACATATAAGCATTTACCCTGCAAAGACAGTCTCTGCAGAGTCAAGACAGTTAAGTGTGCCTGCATTGTAGGTACTGACGGCCCCAGCTCAACTGCTACTGCTGTCATAGCTATGGTCACGCTGGAGCCCTGAAGGAGGTAAATTGTGACCTGGCAGCAGACCATCAGTTGAGAAATACTGATGTAGAGGACATAGGGGAGAGGTTTATGACAGAAAGGTCTGAAACATTTTAAAACCCATGATTATATAGCTGTCAGTTAATTTTTCGTCTCATTGGATGGCAAAACCTGTTAGTCTGTTCTCCTATTGTAGGAGTTACTTTTGTTATCTAATGTTTTGAAGTGACTGCTCTAGCTGCTGAGATTAAAAAGCATATCAGGCTCTTTTTAATACTAGAGAATGATTCTGGAATAATTGAAAGGCTAGCCGTGGAGAATATGAAAGTCTTTTACCTAATACTTGATTATATATTTCAATTTTTTTTTAAATGACTTTATGTGTGGGCAGCTTGATCACATGTATAGCATAGGACCCCTCTCCATTCTACATCTCCATCAGTTGAAACTGTTGAAGACATCTTTATGTAGAATGCGATGACATAAATTACAAAAATAATTTTAGCATATCTTGGGCATGTGCATCATTTCATAGACAAAAAAAGTTATACATTTTTCTAGTTTACAATTTAAAAGCCAGCTCCCAACTCTAAACAGAACAACAAAATAAAAAATGTTGGCTGCGGTTGGGCCTTGAAAAAAGCAATTGAAAAAAAAAAAAAAAAAAAAAAGGCAAACTGTAGTGGTGATGTGATCTTTTTTTTGCAGTTATGAAATGGTAACACATAGCAGTAAAGATTATATACACATTGTATTGCATTGCACTATAAAGGATAATGTGATACTGATGAAAAGTATATTTAATAAAATGTGCTATAACCCAAATGTTATCATTCTCTGGAGTTCTGCATGAAATGGTTCACAGTGATTACTGCAATAACTTTTTACATTAAAAGGCTTATTTAAGGTTCAGTTTAGCTACTTTAAAAGGATTTTCTATTTACAGAGTAAAAAAAAATATAAACTCCTAAAATGAAAACACCAACTAAACCCTTTTTTCCAGTTTTTGACAACATGAAGAATTAGAACTTTAGCTTTAGCTGCAGGTTTTGTGCCTCTTGGGAAGATTCAGGCTATTAGTCATGGAGATCATTGTCATTGAGACAGAAGGTGAGGAGAAATCCAATATTTTACAGTTCTTTTTGAAAAGGAATAAAGGGGATACTTCAAGTGGCAGCTATCAGATGCAGGGGTGTAACTACAACTTATGGGGCCCCAGATCAAAATTTTGATGGGACCCCCTCATGACCTACTTTCAGTCCGCTGTCAGCTGATGTCACTGAACCGATCCAAGCTATGGAGAGATCCTAACTTTAAAACCAGCCTGAGAGACTGAGTCAGCCGATTCCGCCTCCCTGCACAGCCCAGCGCACCAGTGAGCACTGGAGAAGCAGAGCAGAGAGACGGCGACTGACAGTCACTGGCTCTTTGCTCACTGAAGACTGAGAACAGAGCGATCAGTGGCCTTTGATTGCTCAGTTCTTAGTGTGCCGCATCCACCTAGATGTGTTTGTACGTTTGTCTTTTTTACATTCCCAAACTTCTCTTAAGTTGTGACTCTTTTCAGAATTACAAACCTAAAATGACTTATTACATTTTAGTTGAAGTGGAACTTCACTGCATCTGAGCACCAAAAACACTATTTTTTTTATATGCAAAGCAAACTCTCCCATCCATCCATGTCTCCATGGTTTATTTTGCTGAGAAATCGCTTTGAAAAAACACCCCCTAGCATTTCTGGCTGTAGCCATCTTGAGTAAGGGCAGATAATTCATGTAGCATTACTTTCTGAAATCCATCTGCCCTTAAGTGAGGCATACAGGCAAGAGGGTATGCGTCGCTGAGAAAACCTCGTCATCTCCTGAAGACTTCTGGGATGTATTTCATTACTTGCTTAGGCCTAGAGGCCTGGAAACAACTGAAGAAATGTAAAAAAAAAAAAAGTTTAAATCAAGTAAATATGATAAACGTTCCTATCTATTTACTAATGCTAGCAGCATAAGGATTAAATATAGTCAATGTTGAGTGAGAGAAGGAAGTTCCACTTTAAGAAAACACGCTGGAATTTTTCAGCCCCAAAACAGATAGCCATACAGTGTTACTAGTAAGTTTGTGGCCAGGATGACAAGAAGCTTTGAGGGCAATTAATCTACTCACAGATAGGGGGGATGCAAAGTCGATCCTTAAATAGCAACAGTAGATTCCAAAGTAGGATCCTGTGCATCTGTTGTCAGCTCTAATGAAATGGAGACACCAAACAACAACCTTCCTAGGGGGCCCCATCTCATCTTTGGGACCCCTAGCAGTTGCATGGATTGCTATGGCTATAGGTACAACACTGGTCAGGTTGGATTTTCAATTTCCTGTAACATCATTCTCCCTGAGGCTTTGTTCACACAGGCATCAGGTTGTATAAGAGCAGTGTGTACAAGCTTTTACCTAACATTTGCAAAGCTTCTGGCAAGCTTTTTTTAAAGGCTTTTAAGTAGGAGTCAGCTTCAGTCTGGAATTGTTACACAAGGAATTCTAATGGGAGTGTTGACTTTAAACAAGCTGCTAGTAGGCTTTAGGAAGTTTCAACACTTTGTGAAGCTTGTTTAAAGTGACAGTCACCACTCCCATTGGAATTTGTGTTTAACATTCCAAAACTAAAAATGGAGTTCTTTAAAGGCTTCAACAAAGCTGTTTGAAGCTTGCCAAAAGCCTTCCAAGTGCTTTACAAAAGCTTGCTAACTGGTTTGCAAAAGCTTATTGTATGCTGCTCCACAAAGGAGTTTGGAGCTCAAAAAGAGCTGAAACCCATGTGGACAGGGTCTAATGGGAACATAGATAGCAGTTAAAACCTTGGACGTTCTATCCCTACCTTATTCTATCCGGAGCTAAGAAAAATGAATTTGCTGGTGTTTTACTTTAAATATGTAAATATGTGTGCACGACTAGCATAGGGAAAGAAGGCATCCCTGGAATTCCATGTAGCCAGCTACTCTAAAGCCGCTGCACATGTGCTCCAAGTCACTTGGAGATTTGATTTTTTGTTTTGGCACAAGGCAGCTCTGGCACTAGAAACTGCTAAAAATCAATGCAACACTGGAGTGATGATGAATTTCTATAGGCACATAAAACTGCACTGCCTATAT